CTTCTTCTTGTTTACTACTGGTGGTTGGCTTTGGTCGCAATACCGCCACCTTCTGCTCTGGAGTGTAAACGCTTCGCCTATGAGAAAAAGGAGCAGCGCATGAACCGAACGAAACACACGCGAACCGAACCGAGACAGTCAAACTGAACAATTCTGACGGTTTTCATAAACCGTTCCATCCCTAATATGTATGTATATATATATATATATATATATATATATATATATATATATATATATATATATATATATATATAAGCCACTTTTGTTGAAATTTGCATTTTCCCATTCTCTAGCTTTTTCTCCGCCTCGAGCTTCTTTTTTGAACGGCTTTACGATAAACCGGAAGCAGTTCTGCACAAATATATCGCGACATAATATATCAGATGAAATTGTTTTTATAAACTTTTTTCTTTTTCTTCCTAAATAAAGCATTTTAAATACCACGATAATCACATTTAATGCATTTTAATGCCAATTAAGCCCTCAAGTTTAAAAATAATAATTTAATAACTTGCTCCCTAACCCCCAGATTCCACTTCCTCAACCCTTCTCACATACGGTCTGCGGAGTGCTTGCCTGTCATGTTAACCAATGAGAGCTGTTCCACATCCACTCCTATTCCTCTGAACGTCATCGTCAAAATACGGACTCATTTTTCAGCTCCGCTCCGGTCCGGCCAGGTCAAGATCAGCAATTGCAATCGCACCAAACAGATAGGTAACTAGAAATTAGAGCATAATTCTTATATTCCCAAAAACTAAGACCGTTTAACTAAATCTCAATCAAAAAATTCTCTAAATCCAGTCAAAATTTCCAAGAACGCATCTGAAAACTTCGAAACAAAGTTTCTAATCTCAGGCCTGGATGAAGCGATGCTGAGTTTGGAAGCAGAGAACAAACAGAGTTCATCCAAACCATGGATGATCCTAGTTATCAATGTTACAGAAATCCACAACAAAAAGAAAATATTTGGGCAGAAACTGAACTTCTGCTGGATGCTGATGGGATTTTATTAATATGCAAATTAAAGCAGTTTATTAATATGCACATTAAGCATTTATTACTGCTTGTTTTGCTCCTACGGTTTAATAATAATAATTATATCTATGCTCTCCTGGAGCCGCGAGGAGTTTGGAGCAGAGCAGGACGGGAGGAACAGCGGAGGCTATAGGCTTTGCGCCGGCGGTCTGGAGCGGAGCGGGTAGACATAGGATGTGGGATTGGTTAAAGGGAGAGAGGGAATTTCCCCATCCTTTTCTTCACTTTTTACAGAAAAGAGGAGCATGGTGACTCTGGAGGAGCTGCAGAGATGCACAGCTCAGACCTGGCCTTCATGGAGCAGCAAGAGGCCAAAGAAAGTCACCACTGAGAGAAAGCCTGTCAGCTCCTTCTGCAGTTTTACACAAACCATTTAGGAAGACATGTGGAAGGAGGTCAGATGGAACCAAACTGATCCATTAGCTGCAGGAAACAAAGAAATAAAACTGCAAAGCAAAGGCTACGTTCACACCGCAGCCTGAAGTGACCCAAATCCCATTTATTCTTTGGCCCATATGCGACCTGGATCTGATCTTTTCATGGCAGTCTAAACAACACAGATCCGATTCTTTCCTATGCGACCCAGAACACTTGGCTCTGTGGTCCTGAATCCGATACAAATCTGATCGTTTTAGATCTTTTCAGCAGGGTTGCATTCATCCCACCTGAACACCATTAATACTCAAAGGTCACTATTCTGCGTCTGGCTACACAGAAGGGGCAAGAAAAACAACAACCATGGCGGTGAGGATGCAGAGAGCAGTATTTAGGTTTAACCATCTTGAAAAGATTGAGTTTTTAAGGTTGGCAAAGATCGCTAGATACATCCGTAAACACGGCGCACAATATATGCACAAAATGTGCATATATTTGGAAATGTGAACAGCAACGCAAAAAAAAATCAGATTTCATTAAAAAAAAGGGAATTAAGCATTAAGGCCTGCAGTGTGAAGGTAGCCATAGTGGTGGCATCATCATGCTGTGTGGATGATTTTCTTCAGTGGAGACAGGAAACACCAGGAGGGCTGATGGGAAGAACTAAATCCATCCAAGATAAACCTCTAGGATTATATCAGGAAACAGATAAACCTGAAGACGAACAACGAGCGCTAACAGACAACCAGAGACGCATGGATGGGTCCAGATCACAATCCATCTGAATGTAAGAAGAAATTGCTGAGAACAGAAGCTCTCCATCCAGTTCTCAAATGAGGTGGTTTAAAAATGACACTGGGAGAAACAAATGCATGCCACACTTTTCAGAAGATTATTGTGAATCAGACTGAAATCCACAGCTCTTATTCCTTCACTGCTTTTCTAAATGTCTTTACATCTATACTACATTCACATCTGATCTACCATATGAGTTTTTTAAGTAAGTAGATGTAAGTAGAAGCGAGCACTTCTCCAAACAAAGACTACAGCAAAGTCCTGCAACAACAGACTCTGAACAGGCAAGCTTTCAAGGTCATGAAAACATTTAATAATCACAATTTTGATTTTTTGGCTCTAGTAGACCTCCCCGGTCTACTAGAGCAGAACCAGACATGGAGAAGCAGCTTTTAGTTTTCTGCTCCAATAAACTTCTAAAAACAGAAAAGTTCTGAAACTCTCAGTTTATGGATTTTCAGGTTCTCCACTTTTTTCTATATCTTTATTCAACAATCTTATTTTAACACTCTTTTCCCTTTTATTCTAAATATTTTAATATAAATTCCAATATTTTGTGTAGCCTCTGTGTAACTGCAGTTTATTTTCTCCTTCATGTTCAGAACTTTGATTTTTTTTTTGGCCACTGAACTGTTCAATTCTATTCAGTTTATTTCTATAGCTTCAATTCACATCATGTCATCTCAGGTCACTTTCCAGTTCACCAGATCATCCAGTCAGATTGATTCCAAATTTTCTATCTAAGGAAAACCAGCTGATTGCATCGACTCATTGACTCTTCAGCAATCCCTCACACTAAGCATGCTTGTAGCGACAGTGGAGAGGAAAAACTCCCTTTGAACAGGAAGAAACCTCCAGCAGAACCAGGCTCAGTGTGAGCGGCCGTCTGCTGAGGCCGACTGGGGTTCAAGGAGACAGAAACAGACATAGAAAAAGAAGCATAGATACAAAAGGCAACTGTCAACCAGCTCCACAGGCGGCCCCGTCCAGGAAACACACAGCCAGGCAGACGAGCTCCGAGCCAGCTCCCATGCCAGAGGATGAAGAGAGCACATCCAGTTAGTCACACTCAGAGAAACAGGCCAAGCTCCAGCATCTATAAAAAAAAGGTGTTGATGGCAGCAGCACAGCTGATATTTCTCTCCAGGATGGAGTCACAGCCAAACAGGAACAGACCAGATGAAGCTACTATGAGAAAAAGCAGAGAGAGCAGAACGTTAGAGATTGAACTAACAGATTCTGCAGAGTGGGAGAATAGAGATAGAATGAAGCAGAATGATGAAAAAGGGTCCCAATGTCCTCCAGCAGTCTAAGCCTATAGCAGCATAACTACACTCACCGGCCACTTTATTAGGTACCCCATGCTAGTAACGGGTTGGACCCCCTTTTGCCTTCAGAACTGCCTCAATTCTTGGTGGCATAGATTCAACAAGGTGCTGGAAGCATTCCTCAGGGAGTTTGGTCCATATTGACATGATGGCATCACACAGTTGCCGCAGATTTGTCTGCTGCACATCCATGATGCGAATCTCCCGTTCCATCACATCCCAAAGATGCTCTATTGGATTGAGGTCTGGTGACTGTGGAGGCCATTTGAGTACAGTGAACTCATTGTCATGTTCAAGAAACCAGTCTGAGATGATTCCAGCTTTATGACATGGCGCTGAAAGTAGCCATCAGAAGTTGGGTACATTGTGGTCATAAAGGGATGGACATGGTCAGTAACAATACTCAGGTAGGCTGTGGCGTTGCAACGATGCTCAATTGGTACCAAGGGGCCCAAAGAGTGCCAAGAAAATATTCCCCACACCATGACACCACCACCACCAGCCTGAACCGTTGATACAAGGCAGGATGGATCCATGCTTTAATGTTGTAGACGCCAAATTCTGACCCTACCATCCGAATGTCGCAGCAGAAATCGAGACTCATCAGACCAGACAACGTTTTTCCAATCTTCTATTGTCCAATTTTGATGAGCTTGTGCAAATTTTAGCCTCAGTTTCCTGTTCTTAGCTGAAAGGAGTGGCACCCGGTGTGGTCTTCTGCTGCTGTAGCCCATCTGCCTCAAAGTTCGACGTACTGTGCGTTCAGAGATGCTCTTCTGCCCACCTTGGTTGTAACGGGTGGTTATTTGAGTCACTGTTGCCTTTCTATCAGCTCGAACCAGTCTGGCCATTCTCCTCTGACCTCTGGCATCAACAAGGCATTTCCGCCCACAGAACTGCCGCTCACTGGATGTTTTTTCTTTTTCGGACCATTCTCTGTAAACCCTAGAGATAGTTGTGCGTGAAAATCCCAGTAGATCAGCAGTTTCTGAAATACTCAGACCAGCCCTTCTGGCACCAACAATCATGCCACGTTCAAAGTCACTCAAATCACCTTTCTTCCCCATACTGATGCTCGGTTTGAACTGCAGGAGATTGTCTTGACCATGTCTACATGCCTAAATGCCCTGAGTTGCCGCCATGTGATTGGCTGCTTAGAAATTAAGTGTTAACGAGCAGTTGGACAGGTGTACCTAATAAAGTGGCCGGTGAGTGTATAGAGATAGCTCAGGATAACCTGAGCCACTCTAACTATAAGCTTTATCAAAAAGGAAAGTTTTAAGCTGTTCTATATAAGTTCTAGATAAATCAGATCTTGGATGAGGTCTGAGCTGCTTCAGGATGAAAACAAGAAAAGCTCTGAATTAAAGAAGCTTCAATGAGTTTTTCTCCCTCTGCTGAAAACCACTGATGGAGCAGGAGGAGCAGGACCAGGAGGAGCAGGACCAGGAGGAGCCTCACCTTGAGAACCAGCTGTTGGTAGCGGAGTCTGAGCTGCTGCAGGGAGTCAGAGGGTCTGGCACCGAGGACGGCATAAAGGTCCTTCTGATCCGGATCAGACATTTAGAGCAAAGAGACCGCGGAGGAACCGAACAGTCCAGAACCGGAACCAGAACCACCGGAAGCGGCTCTGTAAAGTCTGTGGATGAGAAGCTACCTCCGCTAACTGGTTGCTTTCTGTTAATCTAACTATTAAATATTCGCTCCTCTTGTAAAGCTAACCTGACTGCAGAAATAAAAACACGCCGAGAAACAACCAGCAGTAAGGCGGCATGTTGTGCGTCACCGTTAGATGGTCCGTGAAACCGAAGCCGAACTTTATGGTTCCGCTGAAAGAATGGAGAAAAAAAAAAAGGTTCCGGTCAGTTAAATTCAAGTCTTTTAGGAAGGTAGTCCTTGATGAGAGGGTAGTCGGAGAAGGCGCATGCGCTCGGAAGGTTGGTGGGTCGTCCTGTCGGTTGGGCCACGGAAGGACAGAGAGAGGAGGATTGCATGTGGATGGTCGTTTGGTGCATGGCGCGTGTTTTGAAGCTGCTTATGGAGAAATGTCTTGGGCCGTGAGTAGTGAGGAAACAGGAAGCGATTCTTGTGGGATGGAAGAGGGAAATAGTGACAATGAAGGTTGGAAGATAGCAACATCAAAAAATGAGAAAAAGCGGAAAAAACAGAGATCAGTTCAAGGGGAATCTAGTTCAGAACAATCCAGTGATGATCATTCCATACATTCCACAGCACAACAAAATGAATTCAAAGTCATATTCAAAGTCGTTAATCAGGCAGACTCTTTTACAAATTGGAATCCGGTTCACTTAACAAAAACCATCAATAAACTTGTCGGAGAAGTCAGAGGTGCCAGAATTCTGTACAGTGGAGACCTGCTAATTAACTGCAGAGACAGCGCCCAGCAAGGCAAAGCAATACGGATCAACAAAATTGACGGGATAAGAGTTCAGTGCAGCCTAATGGAGAACAAAAAGATCAGCAGGGGAGTCATTGGAGGAGTTCCTCTAAAAATTTCTGAAAAAGAGATTCTGGAAAACATAAGCGGTGCAAAAGTAAAAGAAGTAAAACGGTTAAAAACAACAAGAAACGGAGAAAGATCTGACAGTTTATCAGTGCTAATTAAATTTGAGGAAGAGCAATTACCAAGCAAAGTATTCATCGGTTACATAAGCTATAATGTCAAAATCTACAATCCTCCACCATTGAGATGTTTCAAATGCCAAAAATTCGGTCACATTGCAGCAGTTTGTAAAGGGAAACAGAGGTGTGGAAGGTGTGCAGGAGAACATGAGTACGGAAAATGTGGAAAAGAAGCTATAATAAAATGCTGTAATTGTGGTGGAGAACATACTGCTGCCTATCGCGGCTGTGAAGCAAGCAAAAGGTCTGAGGAAATTAAAAAAATGAAATTTGAGCTCGGAATAACCTACGCTGAAGCTGCAAAAAGGATCCCATCTCAGTCAGAAAAACCCAAACCTACAGTTCAACACACGGCAAATTCCAAACCTCTAGAGAATCAAAAAATTGATGAAGACTCACTTATTGTTAAAAAGACAAATTTTGTTCTTTTCATGGTAGAAGTAATTAATTGTACTGCACAGACAACAAAAAAAAACGGAAAAAATCAAAATAATAGTGAAGGCTGCAGAAAAATACCTGGACATTAAAGATTTGAACTGGGAGATGGTTGGAAGTATGATGGGAGGACCGATGGGACCATCAGAAACTGGCAGAGTTAAGATGACCTAGAGTAAATTAAAATTATATGGGCAAATGTGATTTAGTATTATGTTGGTTTAAGTTACACAGGTTTTTTTTTTTTTTTTTTTTTTTTTTTTTTTTTTTTTTTTTTTTTTTTTTTTGGGTGAATCGTTTTCTGTTTTCTTGCTTTACTCCATATCAGTTGGTGGCGGTAATGCACAATTCACAAGCCTGCCAACCGCCATAAAACCCCATAAGAAGAAGAAGAAGAAGGTAGTCCTTGATTTTTATATTCTGATACTTAAGAGTGTATGAAATATTTTCAATGATAAATGAAACTGATAGATTATAGTTTCTAAATGACCCATCAGCGTTTTTAGCGGTTTAGGTTATTTAGGAACCTTCAAGGAAATCACACGGTCGGTTCCAGACAGGGGCCAGCAGGGGCCTCTGCAACTGGCTCCTGTTTTGGCCCTTGCATTGGAGAGAATAAACAAATAGATTTCTTATGATCATATTTGTTGGTGGGCTGCTCAGTGCCCTGCAGCTGGAAGGTTCTGGGTTTGATTCGTGGTCTTTCTGCATGGAGTTTGCATGTTCTCCCTGAGCATGCATGGGTTCTCTCCTGTTTGTTTTTACTCCACATTTTTTGTTCACACTGCAGTCAGCAAACATTCCACATCCAGATAGGTAAAAAATCATTTTAACAGGTTTGGTTCAGTTTGATTGCATGTTCTCCCTGAGCATGTGTGGGTTCTCTCCTGGTACTCCGGCTTCCTCACACTGTCCAAAAATATGACTCTTAGGTTCATTGGCTTCTCTAAATACTCCTTAGGTGAGTGTGTGTGAATGGTTGTTTGTCTCTGTGTTGCCCTGCAATGGACTGGGGGCCTGTCCAGGGTGGACCCCGCCTCGATCCCATAAACAACAGACATCCCTTGTTCCAAAAACTAATTTTAAGAAAATGCTTAACCCCCCCTCTTTACTGTTTTATTTCAACAACGCCGGTCTATATTTTCAGTCATCACTGGAACCACAAAACAGGCTTAAACTGGAGGCCTCTGGAGCTTCGCTCAGGATTTCTGAGGATGTTTCCACACCTATAGCTGAACTGAGTTTCTTCCAGATAAGGGAAAGAAACTGGAAAAATCTCCTGGTTATAGATCATGGAGAACTAGGATAGGTCCATTGGAAACTTAACTCACAATATTTGCCATGCTACAGAAGGAGAAATCTTTATTAGAATACACACAGTGAGACAAGTTAAGAATTTATATCATTTATTAAGTGGATGTAATACCAGCCTAGATGAATGAATAACTTAGTCACAAAATTGCAAAGTATCAACCGTGTTGAAACACTGTTTTTACGAATACAGTAGCAGCCATTTCAAATGGTCCTTCCCAGTCAAACACCAGCCGAATAGCAGCCCACTTCCCTGCAACTCCCAGAAAAATCCCCTCCAACTCCCAGCTACTTGACTGACCCCCCCCTTGAACATGTTTTTACTCTGACTCCACCCTTTCCCTGAATTATAGGGTGTGACCAGGAGATGGCGCTTCTCTTTAGATCTTTATGTCCACAAATCATGACAGAAAGAATATTTTAGTACAAAAATTGATGTTTAAAAAGGAATAGTATGGGAACAGCCAAGGACCAGTCAAAGACCAGCCAAGGACCATCCAAGGTCGAGCCAAGGGACATTTAAGGATGAGCCAAGGGCCAGTCAAGGACCATCCAAGGGCCATCCAAGGGTCATTCAAGGTCGAGCCAAGGGACATTTAAGGACGAGCCAAGGACCATTCAAGGACGAGCCAAGGGCCAGTCAAGGACCAGCCAAGGACCATCCAAGGGCCATCCAAGGCCCATTCAAGGACGAGCCAAGGACCAGTCGAGACCAGCCAAGGGCCCATCAAGGAAAGTGGGGACATTTTGAATGGCTACTACTGTAGAGACCAGTTTTCTTCTTCTATTCATGCCAGCCTGTTTTATACATATTGAACCCCTCCCCAGGGTATTGCTGGTTTGGGCCTGATTAAGGCAAAATATTCATCAAAAGAAACAAAACTTTCCACTAAATTTGACCTTCCAAGTTTCTTCCGGAAGAAACTGTTACGCCCAGAAGAAAAAAAAACGGCATCCCGAAAAAACAATCATGAACCCCCCCCACTGCCTGCCTGGATGTTAAAAACAAGAAATATGCATTATACTTAGGCTTGGTTTTTTTTATGTAAACATATTTTATTAGACTGTAACCATTTGTGTACATTTTCGTGATTCTATGCTGACAGTGGCTGCAAGAGAGATCACGAGTTGAATGCTGGCTTATAGCGATCCTTCCACCATTGAATCCACTGTCTCTACTGGCTATACATATATGCTTATGTGGACATGAACTTTAATAAATAACATTTGGATTTGTGCTGAAAAGATGTGAGATTTACCTGCTGACTATAATGAAATAACCATTTAAATGTATCATAAAGTTAAAAAACCTGTGTGGCTGGATGGAGGTTGATAAAAAATGAAATGTAAGGTAAATATTTTAAGCCTAGGGATTTAAATATAGCTGTTTGTTACTAGAGGTAAAGGGAGAACCAGCTGTACGTTCTTATCACCGCCACCTGCTGGACTGGAGATGTCCTGCATAGTCCTACGCCTTTTTCATCTAATTTTTAAGCTACTGTGCTTTACACATCCCTCTCTTATAGAAAAATCGAATTTTCATATTTTGTTCAACGGGTGAAAATGAATACATCGTTTTGCAAAATACGGTTGTAATTCCTGTACTTTTAATTTCACAAGTTTGGTCCAACTGGCAAAAGGTTTTGACACCCCTGGTGTGGATTGACAATGAACTGGTTTGGCAAGCCATCAGTGCTCTGCTGTACCGCGGGGCCCAGACGCTGTGAGCATTTCTGTGAACATTTAACATTATAGTGTTTGTTTCTATTTGTTTTTGGGTAGTCGGACATGTTTAAAATAGAAATATGGTCGGACTGCAGACAAAAATTAGGCAGTTTATTTATGAACAGGTGGCAGAAACAAATTATTGTTGTAGTTTCATAAATTGTATATCTTTGGTCAGGGCAGTACAATCAATGAAGGAAGGATATTGTGTTGTTCAGATCCTTTTTTTTTTAGGATGGTGTGAGTAGTCATGAAGATACTAAATCAGGCTGCAGAGGACAAACCCATGCAATCATTATTTATTGTACATTAGCTGCTACTATAATCTCACTCCTTTTACTAAAGCAGACTCTTGTGTTTCTAATGAGTGCAGACAGCAGAATCTCTGAGGCTCCTTTATTTTGCACCTAGAAACTTGACATTCTTTAAAGGGAACCATCTTCATGGTGTTGATTTCTATTGGCAAACGTTGGAAACAACTGCTAGGAAAGAGCAGCACATGACCACCTGCTGGGAAGTCTCTGCCACAAATAGAGACCACAAATGATCTGTTAATTGAAATGGGATCAGAGGGGATGAGGTGAAATAATGACACGTATGATCTGACTTCCTGTCTGTCACTTCATAACGGCTCTTAACGAGACCCCAGTGAGAATGGGAGGGGGCATGCGCTGACTGACATTGTGCTTTTAATT